CCATGATTAAGGGAATGGTGAAGGATGGTATTATTGAACCTTCATCTAGTCCATGGTGTTCACCCGTGGTACTGCTAAAGAAGAAGGACGGCAGCTTGCGGTTTTGTGTTGACTACCGCCGTCTGAACTACGTTACTAAGAAGGATAGCTATTTCTTGCCAAGAATTGACGACACGCTGGACATGCTTACAGGAGTAAAGTGGTTTAGCACGCTGGACCTAAAAAGTGGCTGCTTGCAAGTTGAAATTGACCCTAAGGACAAGGAGAAAACTGCGTTCTCGACGGGAAAGGGTCTGTGGCAATTTAAAGTAATGCCGTTTGGGTTGTGCAATGCTCCAGCAACGTTTGAAAGGCTGATGGAACTTGTACTTACCGGGCTAATTGGCGACGCCTGTCTGGTCTACTTGGATGACATCATCATCGTGGGCCGTACGTTTGAGGAACACCTTCAAAACTTGGAACGCGTGCTCATGAAGATTAAGAGTGCCAACCTCAAGTTGAGTCCGAAGAAATGTTCACTATTCAAACGGCAAGTCAACTTTTTGGGGTATGTAGTGTCGGAAGAAGGTATCCGCACGGATCCAGAGGAAATCGCAGCTGTAAAGGATTGGCCGGTTCCAAAAGACAAGACGCAGGTTAGAGCATTTTTGGGTTTGTGCTCCTATTACCGACGTTTTGTGAAGAACTTTGCAGATATAGCCAAACCTCTGCATAAACTAACCGAGGAGAAGCGACATTTCTGCTGGGATGAAAGTTGTAACATCGCATTCCAGGAGCTCAAGGACCGTCTGTGCAAAACACCTATTTTGGGATACCCTGATGCAAGCAAAGAATTTATAGTTGACACAGACGCAAGTGATATAGGACTTGGCGGTGTGTTGTCTCAACGGAATGGTGACCAAGAGGTCGTGATAGCGTACTTCAGCAAGTCGTTGTCAAAACCGGAAAGGAACTATTGTGTCACAAGACGCGAACTGCTAGCTGTGGTAAAGTCGTTGCAGCATTTTAGCAAATATCTTCTGGGGCGAAAATTTCACTTACGAACTGACCATGCTGCACTAAAATGGCTATTGCAGTTTAAAAATCCAGAAGGACAAGTTGCGAGGTGGATTGAACTACTACAGGAATACGACTTTGAGATCGAACATCGCAGCGGGAAATCTCATGACAACGCAGATGCATTATCACGAAGACCTTGTCCTGAAGATTGCAAACATTGTACTAGGCAAGAGAGTAAGGAAGTGGTATCCGTGAGGATGCTCAGGGCAGACCACTTCAGCAACGAGTGGAAGGACAGCTTTCAACGTGCACAGCAGGAAGATCCGGACATCAAGCCGATCCTGGAATGGATGAAGGCCAGTGCTCCCAAGCCTAAGTGGAGCGACGTCTCAGCAATGAGTTCAACCACTAAAAGCTATTGGGCCCAGTGGGATTCAGGATGGAGTTCTGTGCCGTAAATGGGAAAATGTTCGGCGAGACAGCTGTCATTTACAAATGGTTGTCCCTAAAACTAAAGTACCGGATGTTCTACAGCTGTACCATAATGATTATTCAGGAGGCCATCTGGGAGTTAAACGAACTCTACTGAAGATCCGAGAACGGTTTTACTGGGTCCACTGTCGAAACGATGTCGAGGATTGGTGTCGCAAATGTACAAGTTGTGCGGCTGTAAAGGGACCTCAGACTCGTAGTAGATGTGCATTGAAGTTGTACAATGTGGGTGCACCATGGGAGAGAATAGCCATTGACGTGGCGGGGCCGTTTCCGGAGAGTGAAAGCGGTAACAAGTATTTCATGGTTGTGATGGATTACTTCACTAAGTGGCCAGAAGTCTTCGCCATTCCAAATCAAGAAGCTTCAACAGTTGCAGATAAACTAGTTCATGAAGTCTTCTGTCGTTTTGGAGTACCTTTAGAGATTCACAGCGATCAAGGAAGGAATTTTGAGTCTCAAATATTCCAGGAAACTTGCCGAGTTATGGGTACTCATAAAACAAGAACGACTTCTTATCACCCGCATTCTGATGGAATGGTGGAACGATTTAATCAGACGTTGGAGAGGTACCTAGCAAAAGTTGTAGACAATCGGCAACGAGATTGGGACAAGCACATACAACCGTGTTTGTTATCATATCGAAGTTCTGTTCACGAAAGTACAGCAGTGACACCAGCTTTCGCAAACTTTGGAAGAGAATTACGGCTGCCTGCAGACCTGATCACCGGGATACCACCCGATGCTCCACGCAGTATAACCGATTATGCAAATGACTTGCGGAACAAAATGAATGACATTTATGAGCACGTCAGACAATCGGGCCAGCAAATGTCTGAGAAAATGAAAACCCGGTACGACCGCCAAATGAACAATAAAGGGTTCAACGAAGGTTCATTAGTGTGGTTGCACAATCCAGTCCGCAGCAAAGGGAAATCTCCTAAGCTTCAAGCTAAATGGGACGGCCCGTACCGGATTGTAACCTGGATCAACGATGTGACCTACCGGATACAGAAAGGCGCAAGAGGGACTCCTAAGATCGTCCATGTGGATCGCTTGGCGCGTTATTATGGGACCGATAATGCTCGGGACGAGTCTTAGGAGGGGGCAGTGTTGCATGAATAAGTCAACTAGCGCCATCTAGTGTCAGGAACGAGAGCGAGGGGAGCTTTGCAGTAAATGACATCACAAATCTTTCGACCGACAGCGCCACCCGAAGAACTAAGTTTCTGGAAAATCTACACTCGAATACTCGTTGCCTGACGCGCATTTACTTGAATGTTCGGGACGCTTCTTTGCTAATTATATAAATAGGCGCTGCAAGATGCGATTGGGGCAGAGTTGAACTCGGCGACACAAGCGAAGCTTCGGAGCGGAATTAAGTGAATTAGTGTGTTTAATTATTAGTGTTTTTAGTTTTAATTTGTGTAAAGTAAATTAAAGTGTTAATTTAGGTAATTTTATCGGCAATTTTTATTGTCACGAACCACAAGCTCGTAACATTACTAAACTTTTATATTTTTTGTCTTCTATAGTTGCTAACGCGGTATGGATAACGGTACCAGTTCCTACGCGCCAACAAAATGAAAACTAAACTTTTATATTCTTTGTCTTTTATAGTTGTTAATAAGGTTGTTAATTAGGTTAAGTTGTTAATAAGGATTACAGTACCAGTTCCTGTGCGCGAACAAAATAAAAGCTAAACTTTTATATTTTTTGTCTTCTTTAGTTGCTAACGCGGTATACAAGTATATACAGTACCAGTTCCTCTGCGCGAACAAAATAAAAACTAAACATTTATATTTTCTTTCTTCTATAGTTGCTAACGCAGTAAAGATTCCAGTATCAGTTCCTATCCAATCCTGGCTTATGTAAAGTTCCTTCCTTTACATATAATTAGGCTAAATTATCTAATACCTCTCTTCAATTTATTAACAAATAGCTTTTACCTGCTACTTCGTCTGCGGAGAACTTAAGCAAAAACCTGCGGATAAATATTTACAGTCTGCAGGTGTTTGCTTTAATTAGCAGACGTTAGTGATGTTAGGAGAAGTCGTTCAATTACCGAAAAATCACTTTACTTATTTATTAATTTATACACTTTATTGTACTAAAAGTATAAGCACACACACATACACACACACGCCACACACACACACACACACACACACACACACACACACACACACACACACACACACACACACACACACACACACACACGCACGCACGCACACACACACACACAGAGACACACACACACACACACACAGGCACAAACACGCGCGCGTGCGTGTGTGCGCGCGAGCGCGCGTGGACTAGTACACACGCAAACACACATATAGATCATACTTATTTATAAAGGTTATAATAAATATATTTATATATTTATTCATTTATTGTTAATGTATTTATTATTTACTTTAAACTTAGTCTTTTGCTATTATCTCGAAAATTACGTGCCGTATGAAAAAAAAATTTAATGAAAATCGAAGATCAAAGATCTATTAATTTATTATCCCTCAATCATATTTTTTATGTCAAAGATTTGTTGTAAGATTGTACTTGAATAAAAATAAGTACTCGTATGTTAAAAAGATTTTGGATTATATAAAAACTTTAAAAGATATTAAGTAAAATACACAGATGTTTTTTGTTTTAAATTATAGTTTGTACGCCTTGTGTAAAACTTTTTTCCCTAGAGTAACAGTAGTACTACTACTGTTACTCTAAGCTTTTTACTATATCACTTCTAGCTTATGAGATAATCATCAAACGTCTAAAATCATATATTTTTTTCGGTTTCTAAAATTTTTCACGTATTTCGGATATAATGTAGCGTAGATCACTTCTGATATTGCTCTGTTAAATACAGATTCATAAAGTTTCATCATTATTGGTTCAGCCATTCCAAAGAATATATTACCCAAATTTTAAAAATTATTATTCGTGCCCTAACTGCATGAATATAGAAAATATAACATTAGACGTACACAAAGTTCAAAAACTTTATTAAACTAAGTTTGTATAAAAAGGGGTATACCAGGGGTTATTATGGATGATAATAACCCCTGGGAAAGGTGATCGCTGCCAAGCTATTTCTAATTTGTTTTGTGTTGTTAACTGTAACACGTATGATTTTAAGCTCCTATTTTTTTTTAAATTGTCCCGCCAGGTTTCTTGCTGGTTCTTCCCAGAACAGAGGTTTTTTTGCGAACCAGTGGTAAATGAAAAAAAGTGACTTTCAATAAGTATTATTCATAATCTATATTGAATTAAAAAGTTTCTGTTTCTGTTTCATAAACCCTTAACAAGCTTAACCAGCAACAAATACCTTAATTTTATTTATATTTAAAGACGAATAAATTAAAACAAATTAAACAATTTAAAAAACTTTATTACAAAAGATTACAGAAAATTTCCAATAAAGAAGATAAAATGAGCCATCGACACAGCACAGGTGCAAGGGTGAAAACACGACCTCGAACTTTTAACTCTTGATGAAAGTTTTATTCGAATTTTTCAAGTATTTCGGGAAGTTTCAACACTATTTCTGTTATAATGTTGCTTGGTTCTTTCTGAAAATTATCGACTTTACCTTAGTCGTAAGTAGTAACATAAGCAGTGTGATATTTTTTCATATAGGATAGGGTGGCAAACGAGCACACAGTTCACCTGATGGTAAGTGATTGCTGTGGCCCATCTACACACTACATCTACATCTATCCTCGAATACGAATCAAAATGCAGATGCGTTGTCAGCCGTGAGGACTAAGATGCCTCGTTTCCAGTAAAAAGGGTCTCCTGTTGTCTACACTAGCCATATGAAACAAAGCACCATTAAGCTACTATTTTGCGCTGGTATTCAAAATATAAAAATTATAAGAATTCAAAATATAAGATAATGACCAAGGATGGAAAATTCAACGTGTGATTGCTTCTCGTGGCTGTGAAATGCTAGAAAGTTCTCACAGTTTGCGATAATTGATGTTATAACAATTACGTTCCCGCAAGACGGTATATGTGGTAGAGCCACGCTGCAGTAATGTTATGGTTGTAGCACGACTGGGTAGGTTCGACCAGGCAGGACCACGATCTCACAGATTCCCAACGTAAAATATCAGCTTCACGTTGCAGTGTGGCAATCGCTGCGTGTGGTGAGCATAGAGAACCTGACACCCCTTTCATTATAAACGAGTTGTTCTATTGTCGTCTTCATGAGTAGCAACGCATTTTACATTTTTATTCTTATCAGCGGACTTTTCCGGGCTGTTGATGAGGAAGGACCATTTCTTCGAAAAATTTTTGTTGCAAAGAGAACATGAGAACATATAGCAGCAGTCTTACTAAATTAGACTCAAAATTAATCCATAACTCTATAGGACATAAGAGAAGTCATGTGCCAAGGTACTAGTGGTACACGTAGGCCGTAACTTTACTGAAGTTGATTTATCTGTGTTAATTAAAATTTAATTTAATATTCTCTTTACCTGGTATACCCTCAATATATACGGTACAGAAGTTTCCATGAAGACATTGAAGTTATTAGAAATATCGTTTCCTCCAAGAAACATTTTCATTTTGGACTGAAACAAAAATGTCGTTTTTTATTTATTTCCAAATTATTAAAGAAGCTTATTAGTAAATATTACCTCAATGCTTCCAAGCCCAACTGCGATTTTGTAGTCTTCATCAGAAGGTTCAGTGGAACCTGGTTTAACTCGAACAGTGATAACAAAATCGTTGACAGCAAGCCTATATAAAATATTCCATTTATCGGTACTAGAATATCCACATTGTGAAATTTTTAAATGTTTACTTAATCTCGATAAAGATCAGTTATGTGCAAGTTATGCATTATTTCTTCCATACCAACTAAAGACAGCAACCGATTACTACCACCGATTGAAGAAATTGACCAGTGGAAGAACATTTCCACAAGACTTTTGCATTTTACTAAATGTACTTATCTAAATCTGTGAGCCGTGGTAGCTCAGATGGTTAATGCTCGCTGTAAATATAACAGAACGCGAGTAACCCGGGTTCGATTCCCGCCGGCACCAATGAAATTGTTAATTGCAATTTTAAGTGCTGATTTACCACTTGCTCGGCGATGAAGGAAAACATCGTGAGGATGTTTTCCTTCCCGCCGAGCATGATGACCGATGCATGTCTCAGGAATAAGAGAAAAAAAATATTTCGAAGACATGTGAAGTTCGCCAGCACGCATTGGAGCAGCGCGGCGGACAATTCCTTGCCCTAAAACCCGCTCAGAAATGAGGGGAGGCCTGTGCCCAGCAGTGGGACGTATATAGGCTGACTTTACTTTACTAACATTACTTACCTAAACAGCAGGATGTAACTTAGATACTGTACTGATTACTACCAACATAATGAAATAATAAATGAATGCGAATTAACGACATCGATGCATGAGAAGACTCCAGGTGCGTTGTCGCTAATGAGGACTAAAATTCAATATGTCTTAGCCTGTAATTATAGCCCGTTGCACCGCAAGTCATCAGTGAACTTACCTACTCAGACAAACTCCTACGAAGAATGGAAATCCTACCGATGGACGGATACTTTTTTTAATAGTCTGTTTGGATTATTTTTTGTTTGGGCCACCCTTCTCTTCACCTACTTTTCTCGTCAAGCAGCAATGCTTGTACTGGATAACGGTCTGAAGGGTATGATGCGATAGTATACGGCTATGAGGCATTCCATTTTAGACTTCAGATGTGAAAACGCATCTGTACTTGTCTTTGTTGTTAAAATCTCCTGCAGTTATCCATTAAACTGTTAGTTTGTTTGTCACTTTCATTTAATAAAAAAATTGAAAGAATTACCTGCCAGCGAATTGGATTTCATAGGGGATACCGTTATATACCGCTTCTAAAGCCGCCAAACCTGTGACAAAAATAATTTTTAAATACAATTTACCGTTATAAATATATTCCATATAAAAAAACAGGGAAAATCCTTACCTATTGTTGATTCAAGTCGAGGAAATCGAATGTATATAACGAACTCATCCTCTTCATAATTAAAGTCGTAGATTATGTCACTGAGCCCAATTAATTCGAAGTTGTGGAAATAACCTATTACTGTCAACTCCCTGTAAAATAATTATTTTATAAAATTCTCATTTAACCAACGTAGTATTAATTATTTAACGTGAGGCTGCAGCTATAATATGGTTGTAACACGACGAGGTCGGTTCTACCGTGAAAAGACCACGTTCTCACATAATACCGGCGTAAAAAGCATCAAAATGCTGCTGTTTTTGAGGAGTGGGGAGAATCGGATATCATTTTACTAGAAACGAGGCAGGCCACCTCAGTCCTCAGGGGTGATAACGTGTCTGTATTCTTTATCGGGGATAGATGTAGATGTCTATGGACTACGACATCCACTTACCATCAGGTGAACTGTGAGCTCGTTTGTCACCCTTATTTTATTAAAAACAATCTCGTCTGTTTGGGATATTCCATTATTCATCCTATTATTACAGTCTACTGTTAAACATAGGCCTCCAACGATTGCCGCATAAGGTGGATACTTGTCACAGAATCCACCCTTGGCAAACAGGTTAGAAGCCACCTCTTCTTATTATTAGTTGTTATTAAAAACCTGGAAAAGAAAAGCCAGGTTGGCAGCAGCCCACCTCCTGGCATGTTCCCCTCTTACGACACCCACGGGACGATATAGGGCAGTGTATATTCTTACAACGAGTGTAGTGATACAGATGGGCTAAATACAAACTAATTTACATTATATTCTCATTTTAAAGAAATGTGGGATGCCAAACAATCCAAGAACCATAAGTGTCGATATTATGGTGTTCAGCTAAAGAGAAAATGGGGAGAATGACCGATTCGATGATTGATCGAAGATTTTGAACGCAAGCAGTATATTACATTATATCACTAATTGAAAATCTCCCATGATTATATAGTGTGTATTTCCAAACAAGAAAACTTTTCTGCAGAAAGAGGATAATACACTACATCTTAAATCACCCTTACTTCGTTAGTATCAATTTCAAGAAATAAAAATTCTGAAGTAGTATCACAAGAAGATATTTGCAATGGCAGTGGATAAATTGCAACACCAACACCTCTTTTCTTGGTTGTATCACTGCGAATAAGAATGAAACCGGGAAAAATTATAAGTTCGACAAAATGGGCGGCTCTAATCAACAAAGAAAAAAGCTTCGTCCTTGAATGAGAAAAATGGCTCGAATGGAAAAACAGTTTCATTTAAGACTTCATCCAATATTTTTCCACCATTAAGGATGAATGGTTTCCACAAAATGCTATGGAAGCAACCCTGAATTATATGTACACCAACTGTGAAGTATGGATAATTTATAATCCGTTTAATTACAAAAGGATAATAAAATTGACGAAGATATCGCGTAATATACATAAAAAACATTCATTCGAAATGTTAACCGCCTCTTTTTTTGCAGTCAGCTAACAAATCAGTAATAAACAAGAAGGATACCTTACTCACCCAAGCCAAGGATAATCAAGCGAGGTATAATAGGAGTCCCCATCATTTATATACGGATCGAGTCCACCATCCTTAATTGTCTTAATGCTATCTTCGATAAATTTTACAAAATCGAAGGTTTGTGAAGCTGTAAAGTAAAATTTTCTTTAAATATTCGTTATTATGAGCCATGTTAGTCCAAGGAAAAGGCGTTGATTTTTAATTCTTTAACACGTATAAAAGTTAAATTTATATCCTGTATTCTTCCCACTGCTGGGCACCTCTAATTTCTGAGAGGGCTTAGGGACAAAACCACCGCGCTGCCCCAATGCGTGTTGGCGAACTTCACATGTCTGCGAAAATTTTTTTTTAGTTTAGCAGATATGCAGGTTTAATCACGATATTTTTCTTCACCGCTAAGCACGTAGTAAATCATTTCATTGGTGCCGGCGGGGATTGGTTGCTCTCCTACTGTGAAATATTCAGCAAGCGCTTATCCCCTGAGCTATATATATATATATATATATATATATATATATATATATATATATATATATATATATATATATATATATATATATATATAACTCAGGGGACTTATATATAGATATGAGAGGATGCCCTGTATCAAGCATTAAAATGCGTATTGAGTTGTACCCGTGCTAATTCTTTCCCGTAAAATATATCGTTTTAAGCCTCCAAGTTCAATAAAATCCGTCTTAACATTTTGTCATCTAGACCAAATTTGTCATTTTACATCTAACAGTCACGGCTGCCAGTCTTAGACTCAATCTGCCCCGGGAAGTATTAAAGTGTACGGGCATGTATGCAAAGAGGCACAGGTACACTCTCTACTCCTTCACCCTAATAGTCCGATGGTACGACAATCCGATTTGACCGGAAAGAGATCAGACGCAGGACTTTACAACGTCTTTACTTGCTTTCCAAGGCACGGAGCTGAAACACCACCTATATCCTGACTAATAACAACTTTACGTAAGGTGGTAAGTGATTACGCAGAATCTATTCGTAAGATAAACTAGTTACTGACAATTACCCAACGGTGAACTAAAAAGAACCCACATGGCTGACCCGAGTATGTTTCGGATTTGTGTTAGTGGACTGGGGTGGGAGGGGTGTCCTCTTCCCCTACCACCTACCGCAGCCGCGATGAAGTCACGGAGTAAAAGGAGTGTTGGTGTGACGAGGCGCTAATCGAACTATCATTATGCGGTAGTGGTGCAACTGCGGAGGGAGAGGAGTAATGGTATTGCGAGATGGTGTTTTCTCTATTATCTGTAGCTGAATTTCGGTTACCGACGAAGTCACAGACCAGAACCACCGCAAGGGTCAGCTAGTTCAGCTTCAGAGTGCTCGTTTTTCCTAGCCCCATGGCCATCACGCATTAGACATGGTGGGTTCGTTACGCAGGTGTAATTGGAGTCCGCAGAGGAATATGTAAAGTTTGTGTAGAGAGGTTGTGGGGAAGAGTAGTCCTCTTCCGAGAAGGGGCTGCCATGGGCGTCCGATGCTGATGGGGCCGCAAATGCGAAAGCGTTCCCGCGGTCCTGCCAATATGCGGCGAGAGTGGAGGTGGAGTTTTATATAACCCGTAGGTTCGGTATAGCAAGTACGAGTATACATAATAGTAGCTGAGACTTACCTCCGTATTACAGGTGTAGGCCCCGTAAGGCGAGTATGGGTCGTAAAAAAAGATGACAATTAAGAACTAATTAAATTTGGATGTGGTTACGCAATAAGAACCCAATCCATACTCTTTTCAAATGTTAGTCTAATAATATTCCACAATAACCCGAAGGTTTGTACTTTCTTAGAGTTAAAATGGCTCTAGTGATATACGCAGCCAAAGGAAAAATTTGTAATAAGTCAAATTAAGTACTACTAAATAGCGATCCAAACATCTAACATTGATTAAAATAACTTTTACGGATTTTATCGCGTTTAATTTTAAATGATTTTTAATTCCCGACGTTTCAGGTGTTCTCCAGCACCTATGGTCACGTGGGGTTTGAGGTGACTGACATCACAATTTCAATGTTAACCCGGAGTACCTTCAGCTTTTTAATTATTGTTTATGGTCTGATCTATGCAGAATGAACTAACTCTGTCTTGAAGTCTTGCAGTGGCATGCTTGGGTTTAGTTAATTTTATTCATAACAGGGTCCCAAGCAGGTGGTAGTACCCAGCCTCCTTCTATATTGAAATTTTTTTATACTGTGTGGACTGTGTGCTCGCTTGTCACCCTTATACGGATGACAAGCGAGTACACAGTTCATCTGTTGGTAAGTGGATGCTGAAGCCCATAAACATCTACATTTTTAACCTCACTTAAGAATCAAAATGCACATGCGTTGTCACCTTTGAGGACTAAGATGGAATGCCGCGATTCCCCGGTCATAACCATAATAGCTGCAGTGTGGCTACACCACGTTAAAATATATCTACCACGTTAAAATAGCTATATGTTCTTTTACGCGGGTTTTAATAGATCTTTTCTCTCATATCTGGTCTCTTAAACATAGGGCAAACAAAAAAAATCTATCAAAACCCGCGTAAAAGAACATAATTATAGCTGACGTGAAGCATCAACGTTCCGGGAAGTCTGCAGTTTGCGATCATATCCTAGACGGCCCCAACCATTATATCAGATTTGATAGATTACAAATCCTCGCGAAAGAACATTGATTTCTACCAAGGATGATACGTGAGGCTATTGAAATTAAAAAACATCCTAATTAGAATAGAGAAAGAGGCTGGGTACGACCACCTGCTTGGGACCCTGTAATTAATAAAATTAAAACTAAGCCCAAGCATACCACTACAAGACTTCAAGACAGAGTAAATTCATTATGCATAGATCGTATCATAAAAAATAATTAAAAATCTGAAGGTACTCCGGGTTAACATTGACATCGAGACGTCAGTCACCTCAGCCCCCGTGACCATATGTGCTGGAAAACACCTGAAACATCGGAAATTAAAAATCGTTTAAAACTAAACGCGATAAAATCCTTAAAAGTAGTTTTAATCAATGTGTAGTGTTCGCGTAAATATAAGAAATCATTATACAAACTTCTAACGTCAATATCTCCGTTGAAGTTTGTACGAGATGATTCATTTTTGCGTATCAACGGACATTTGATCTAAAAGCTTGTCTAAAATCATACCATTGCTTGGTAGTCCACCCAACAGCGCGTTAGCGCAAGCCACGAGCATTATAAGAGCGATGACACGAGGATTCATAGTGAATTCCTATGAAAAAAAGAGAATGCAATAGATATTAGTTACGCTTCAACAAAATACTAAAACTTCTTCTCAGAAACCCTTCGCCGTTGTCAGACCTTTCCAAAATTATACCAAAATCATTTTAAAAGAGCAATCCGTACACAAGTCACACAGATTGGTAAGCGCATAGAAATTAACGTCGCTCGTCGATATGTTGGTGCCCAACTGCAGTCTTGGAGATTTGGATGTAGATTTTTGCATGTTGAATATATTTTTTTTTATATCTTGTCAGTCAGTCAGCAGTCAGCTGGTTATTTTTGCAAATAAATACACATACCATTTTACACGCTAATAAACTCGGTATTTTATAAGGAAAAATATTTTTTTTATATAGGATAGGATGACAAAGGAGCACACAGTCCACCTGATAGCTAAGTGGTTGTAGATAGGTAAGTGGTTGCTGCGGCCCATAGACATCTACATCTATCCTCGATTACGAATCAAAACGCAAATGCGTTGTCACCCGTGAGGACTTAGATGGAATGCCTCGTTTCCAGTAAAAAGGGTCTCCGGTTCTCTACACTCACCATACGAAACACAGCAGCATTAAGCTACTATTTGACGCTGGTATTCTGTGAGAGCGTGGTCCTTCCCCGGTCGAGCAGACCCATTCGTGCTACAACTATAGTACTCGTATTAATATAACTGCAGCATGGCTCTATCACGTAAAAACTTGTTGTTGTGTAACTTTTGATCATGTAGTGGGGGCTCAAGAAATTCCATTACCCAATTTCATTTTTTGGTATCGTAGAAGGTGACATTGGAAAAAGGAAACAGGATATGTGCAACAGTATTTTCCTGATAACAACACAAAACATGTTGCTAACCCGCCCACTAACACACGACAAACATGTTGCTAACTGTATGGAAAACTATCCTCTATGAGGCAATCTATGGAGGAGTCTTTTGTTCAGCAGCGAAGTTTTGAAATACTTTCATAAATGAATAAAAATAAAATATTTTAAAAATAATAACGTTATAACTTACATACCTTTCTCCAAAGATTGACGATTGATGAAATGACTGTGGTTGAACTCTGTTTTTTTTTTTTCAGTACCAATAGAAGATATATATACGTTCAAAATTAATTTTAATGACATTACCAATAAAAATACAATTTAGTCAGTTGAAACTCGTTTGTATGTTTAAGTGCTAAAACTATTATAATTGTAAAAATATATACACTGATAAGAAAACTAGTTTGCCATTAGCAAAGAAATTTGCACTGATTGCAATTTTGCGTTCCTCTACAAAATACGTTATATTTATTTGGAAAGGGTCATTTTTCTGTCTAGAATTTTACATGAATTGCTATTATAGGTATTTACAGACTAAGATACATTTCACCTCAATCCGCTACTGTGACACTCTAATTCGGTTGCAAGGAATTAATCTATATTTTTATGAAACCTTTTTGTATGGTGAATTATCTCTCGGGGACAACGGCGATGCCTCGCGGGGATTCTGATGGACTCGTACGGACTAAAACTCCAATGGTGTTTCACGTTCGCCGTAAATAAGCAGAGCCATTTAAACATTTTCGTTGTTTTTTTTTGCGCCTAGAAGCAAAAGTAAAGTGCTACCCTCCAGGAAGCGGGGAAGGGTGGTGGTGAATGCTCTAAGCATATAACGCAGCCGGCTGCGTGGTTATGTGGGACTCACTGAGAAACCTCCGTGCCTATCCTCTAAACACCACCTGAGACTGGCTTTGACCTGGTAAGGCCTTTTTGCCGTATCGGAAGCGACCTCTCTTGGGGAAAGGGGGGCGCAGATTGAAATGGGCGCAGGGAAAAGGGGGCGCAGGATGCGCATACGCGGTCCTATCAGCGCCAAACACCCTTAAGGAGTCCTTCTCAGAAAAGGAAGTTGAAATAAATTACCTAAGTACACTGATTGAAAGTAAATCAATATTACCACTACTTGACATCTTAGTATGTTCTTTGTTTCTTGTACAAATCCTCGCTCCAATATTCTACTAATTATTAGTACCCTTATGTTTTACTTATTTATTTTTCAAATCCTTTGTTTGTCTATACAAATAAATAAAATTTAAGTGTCCGTTTGTAATATCAAAATAACAGAATTTTTAACATTTTTTTAAACGTATTTAAAAGTAAATACAGTACCTATATAAAAATAATAATTAATTTTTTTGTCAAATTGTCGGTCGATCTGTCCATCTGCTTCTCTGTATGTTTCAGCTAATCTTCGAAAAGGCTGGACTGATTTGGACGGGATTTTCACTCACGGATAGCTGATGTTATAAAAAATAACTTAGGCTACTTTTCTTTTAGAAAAAAAATTTATGCAAAAAATATTAAAACCCATGAATTCCAATCGTAATAAATTCCACGTGGATGAAGTTGCAGAGATCGGCTAGATTAGATAGCAATTAATATTGATGCATTAAAATAAGCTCATATAAAATATAGTTTTACTTGTAAGAATTTCGGGGATATAACGTCACCCTGTCTTACACCTCTCTGCAGTTGGATAGAATCGTACTCTGGTGATGTACTCGGATCGCCATCGTAGCCCTACTGTATACTGTAATACACTTCAGCACTTCGATATGCCGACAGTCAATTTGGCACCGTTAAAGGGACCGCAGCACCGCACAAAATTCGACGGAATCAAAGGCGTTCTCTTAGCAGACATACTCAAGGCAGATTAGTAAATTGTACTCTTCGGTCTTCTGTACAATTTTTAAAAGGTATGTATGTGGTCTCTGATGCTAAATTCGTTTCGAAAACTGGCTTGTTCTGGAGGCTGGAAGTCGTCGAGTCTCTGTGTGAGACGATTCTTAATGACTCTCCAATACAGAGCGTAAAAGCAGATCAAAAGGATAATCTGTTTAAGCTTTACATAAAGAACAAGGCCAACGCACTTCTGCTTCCACATCTACGAAACAGTGCCACCTTGGAAAATGTATTTAAAGTGCTTCTGAAGCACAATACCTGTTTTCCGACTACTTTAAGAAGCTCTGCTGTAATTTCACCCTCGCCCGGGATTTGCCGTTTTTGAGATGCGATAGAGTCACATTAATCTCGCTCAGATGACGTCCGGAATATCATCAGAATAGTATCGGATAAGACTTGCTCTTGGACCGTTACATACACTTTCATGTCGCTACAACGAAGACGTGTGCAGCTTCCCATAGCACGTCCCAATTTCGATCAAAATCTAAGGTTTCCCGGAAATGATGCTGCCACTTTCAATATTCAGCTTCAACAGTTGGCTTGTTTTGGCAGACACATCTCTGGCAAAGATTTTGGAGCCCTGGTTCTGCTCAATCGCTTCTTCAATACGGGATGTATAGAAGTTACGTATGTCCCGCCGCATGCATTTGGAGATATGTATGTTCAGATTCCTTTATGCAGTCAAATCTGCTGAAGACTGTTCATTACCCGTCCAACAGATAAGAGATTAAGAGTATCAGGGAGGTTTTGTGCTCTTCTGCGACAGGTCTTGCAGAACTTAGCTCGGACCGCATGGACAGTTTCCAAGGGCTTGTCATTCACACCATCCACTGCACCGTCTCAGCACTGAAAACAATTTTGTAACTCGAGCCGAAAGTTTAAAGCATGTTGGGGAGTGAGCGTCGACATCATTAGACGTGATTTCTCCAACTTGACGTTTAGGTTCAGTGTGCCTCAGGTTATTCAGTGATCGTCGCGATCAATGTGACATCACAGAACAGTTGCCATAAAAGTCGTCATAATGAAGTCAATCTAATTTTTTGTCGAAACCTCGAAGTTCATCACATGAAGTCCCTCTTTCTCATGCGTGGCATTTCTACGTATAAGTGAAGCTATGAACGTACAGGGGTCAATGATTTCAAAAGGAAGGATAGGCTCATCTAAATATTGGGTCCTTACATATGAAATTAGCGTTTTGTCGTACTGACCACTTTGATCCGAAATATCTCCTCTTTGGTTAAGAATTCCAAATTCAAATTTATAAATTCATTTAGTTGGTACATTATTTGTTTTTTCTTCGATGTTTTTATCTTTGGCGTCGCTTATTACCGCACAATGGAAAACATGAAATATCGGTATATTTACGAGTACGACTTCTACCGTGGCACCAGTGCTGCAGAAACAGCTCGAATAATTAATGATGGGTACGGTGCTGGTGTCGCAAAAGAAAGCACGGTACGCTTTTGGTTTCAACGTTTTCGTTCTGGAAATTTCGACCTTCAGAACCAACCTCGTGGACGGCCGGAGACCAAAGTGTAAAATGAAGAATTAAAGCCAATTGTGGAAGCGGATACATCACAAAGCACTTCAGAGATAGCTGCAGGTTTCGGGGTAAGTGATAAAACTGTATTAATCCACTTGAAGCAAATTGGGAAAGTAAAAACGACGGGTACCTCATGAATTAAGTGAATCGAACTTGCAAACACGCGTCGAATGCTGTGTTACTTCGCTCAACCGAAACAAAAATGAAGAAATTTTAAATCTTTCTTTAAAATTTCTTCATTTTTGTTTCGGTTGAGCGAAGTAACACAGCAAAAATTACTTGTGATAAAAAGTGATACTTTACTATAATCGGAAGCGTTCATCGCAATGGCTGATCCCTGGAGACCCATCTAAATCCTGCCCTAAACGAACATTGACTCAGAAAAAGTTACTTGTGAGTGTTTGGTGGACTAGCGCTGGTGTCGTTCACTACAGTTTTCTAAAATATGGCCAAACGTTCACGGCAGATATCTATTGTCAGCAACTACAAACCGTGAAGGAAGAACTAGCTGCTAAACAACCGAGAATGGTTAATCGCTCTAGGCCACTACTGCTTCACGAAAACGCAAGACCACACACTCCACAACAAATAACCACTAAGTTAGATGAGCTACAATTGGATTGTCTGCAGCATCCATCGAACTCTCCATACCTTGCTCCAACAGATTACCATTTTTTCCGGAATTCGGACAACTTCTTACAACGAAAAAATTCAAC